CATCAGTGACAATAGATTCGTTGTAAAATGCAAAAGACTCCGTTCGGACTTCGGAGTGGCTACAGAAGAAAAAAAAAAGACAGCAACCGGCCCATGCGAAAATAAGGATACATATCGGAAGGACATTTCATGTCAAGTAAAGTCAAGTCACATTTATTTATATAGCACTTTTTACAATACAGATTGTATCAAAGCAGCTTCACAGTGATAACATGAAAGTAATACAACACAGATCAATAATATTGATCAATAATATTGTTGAATATTAAATGTCCCCAACTAAGCAAGCCAAAAGCAAGGCAACAGTGGCAAGGAACCAAAACTCCATCAGGTGATTGAATGGAGAAAAAAACCTTGCGAGAACTCAGGCTCATTCGGGGGCCAGTTCTCCTCTGGCCAACGAAGGAACAGTGATTACAAAACAAATTTGATCGAAACATTAAGAGAATTGTCCATTTTCATCCATTTGGGAGTCGAAGTAATCACGCCGGTTTTGGAGACGAGATGTTGGGGATCAGTGCCAATGGCTGTCGTGTTGAAGAGGCCGACACTTAAGGATGAGTCGGGATGTGTCCAGGCGCAGGTCCACCATTGAGGGTCCCTCGGGTTAAACACAGAAACTGATATTAGAGTAGATGCCATCCTTCTTTTGATGTACCAAGTACATCAGGATTTACGGGACGTGTTCCCAGTTCCGGCTGATCTAAACTATGCAGCCTAATTTGAATTTAGGAAGTCTATAGTGTGTTATGTGTATGCTAGGCCAAAGAGATGTGTCTGCTTCCCGGACAATGTTTGGAAGATTGTTCCAGAGTTTTGGTGCTAAATAGGAAAAGGATCTACCACCAGCAGTCGATTTTGATATTCTAGGTATTATCAACTGGCCAGAGTATTGAGATCGCAATAGACGTGAAGGACTATAATGTGTTAAGAGCTCACTCAAGTACTGCGGAGCTAAACCATTCAGTGCTTTATAAGTAATCAGCAATATTTTAAAATGTATACGATGTTTAATAGGCAGCCAATGCAGGGTTGACAGAACCGGGCTAATATGGTCATACTTCCTGGTTCTGGTAAGAACTCCAGCGGCTGCATTTTGGAATATCTGAAGTTTGTTCATTAAATGTCATGAGCGCATCATGAATGATTTCATGAACGCATTAAGAATGTCATGAACCCATGAACTAATTGTTCCGCATTTGTCGTAATTTAGATATATTTTTAAGATGGAAAAATGTGGTTCTACAGATACTAGACACGCGACTTTCAAATGAGAGATTAGTATCAAAGAGCACACCCAGGTTCTTAACCGACGACGAAGACTTAACAGAGCAGCCATCAAGTGTTAGGGAGTATTCTAGGCTGTTACGTGTGTATGTTTTTTGTCCAATAATTAGAATTTCAGTTTTTTCCAGAATTTAGTAGTAGGAAATTACTAGTCATCCAATTTGTTATATCAGCAATGCATGCCGTTAATTTTGTGAGATGGTAAGTTTCGTTAGGTTTTGAAGAAATATACAACTGGGTATCATCAGCATAACAGTGAAAGCTAATTCCATGTTTCCTAATGATATCTCCTAATGGTAGCATGTACAGAGTGAATAGCAGCGGTCCTAGTACTGAGCCTTGCGGTACGCCATACTGAACTTCTGATCGATAAGACATCTCTTCATTTACTGCTACAAAATGATAATGGTCAGATAAGTATGATTTAAACCATATTATACCATGGTCTGGGTGAATACTCGATTCTGATTGGCTGCAGGGTGTCCGTTAAAAAGTGATAGAGGACACCTAGTAAAGTAGTTCTGGTGAAACTGCCTGTTTACCATTCGAAATGAATAAATAAATGCGCTGCCTACAACGGCTGTGAGTAACCATAGCAACAGGCAGTCACATGCTCTATCATCTAACGTTAGATATTATAGCCTAATACAACAATGAGCGACTTCGTGCTATTTCTTTTAACATTTATGGAGAATATGGCAACTTTGACGACTGGTATGCTGCTGAAGAAAGAAAAAATGTAAATAAAACGGAGAAAATTACACCGCTGCTGCTCTGCTCCATTGAACTCTATTGGTAACGACGTAACTTGCGACCATAGTTGGATAACGATGCTTTCGGGAAACGCACCCCTGAATGAGACCCTGCGGGAGTTTTACGCAGCTGTCCAGACAACCAAGGCAGGAGAAGGCTGAACGTTACAGCGTTTCAAGCCTAAGGAGCCTGAGGCAAATGACGCTCTCTTTGATCTGATTAATTTATTGCCCTCTATAACGTTAAGCGCAAATCGCTGGAGATCAGAGGCAGAGCTAATTGTTTTTTTATTGTTGTTTGATTAATTGTTTTATGTGTAATAAAAAAAAACTATTCCTACCTTTGTGTTTCATGAAAAAAAAAATGCATTTGTGAACCTGAAGGGATACGAGCTAAGCGGACTATAGGCTAAATATCTCCAGTTGCTAAATAAACAGTCAGGCAAGGCAAATTATTATTTGTAAAAACTAGATTTAGCCTAATTAAAATATAAACTAATGTTTTAAAAAATGTTTTATTTGGCAAGTGACCATGGTATAAGCGGGTTAATGCCCTCCGAGGTGTCCATTGTCAGGTTTTAATGGACTTCGGCGGAGGCAACCGTCCTCCGCTGCGCGTCGGCCGGTTTACGCCTCGCCGTCGTCCATCATATGTTGGTCATACTTCCATAAAGAATAATCTGTGATTCTGAATGCCAGTATCCAAACCGGCGGGGTGATTGACAGCCTCATAGTCTCTTCAAACATTGTGTTCATCCGCGCTGTGCCGTGTCGAGGGTGTTGAAGTACAACTCACGTAAAGTTGATAATTCGGTAACACTTTATAATAACTACACGCTAATAATCATTAGTTAAGCATGAGTAAACCATTACTTCATCATTCATAAAGCATTAATAGACATTAATAAGCAGTTCATAAATACAGCTATAAATGCTTTCTTCTTGATTTAAAGGCATATCTATAATTTGTTTAATAATTGTATTTTCATCCTTTATTAATGATCAATTTATCATTTCTAAATGAAGAATTGCATTTTTTATAAACCAGTTATTTAAGAGTTGTCCGTGGTTCATACGATTACTTAGAGCGAGTAAGTAAATGATTAATAAACTATTTAAATGTACATTCATACATCTTATTATTCAGACATATAGTGATGGTTACTTAATGTGTTAATAAATGATTTATTAACATGTATTAATGCTGTAATTAAGGATTAATTTGGGTAGTTAGAAAGCATTTAGTAGTGGTCAGTTAACTATTTTTGTGACCTAATCTAAAGTGAGGACTATTCATGCCTTGTAAAGCATTTTTTAAAGGCTGTTAAATATTTCCATGTTCTGTATCACTGCGTTGTGTTTGCTACATTTTACTGTTTAGAAGATTGACGAGTCTTTAAATCACCTTTATAAATGCTTTACAAAGCACGAATAGTCCTCACTTTAGATTAGCTCACAAAAATAGTTAACTGACCACTACTAAATGCTTTATAACTACCTGTATTTACTACATTTACTTACACTTTCTAAGTGGTCTTATGAATGAATGACAACTCTTAAACAACTGGTTTGCAAATAATGTTATACTTCATTTAGAAATTATTAATTGATCATTAACAAAGTATGAAAATACAATCATTAAACACATTATAGATATGCTTATAAATCAAGAAAAAAGCATGTATAGCTATATTTATAAACTGCATATTAATGTCTATTAATGTTTTATAAATTATGTATTAACTGTTTACTCATGCTTAACTAATGATTAATAGCGTGCAGTTATTATAAAGTGTTACCGATAATTCCACACATGACTGCAATTGCAGATTTCGAACAGAGATGGCAAAAAGAAGAAAAATGCCAGACTGCAGTTTTAATGATGAAACCTTTACATTACATTTACATTTACATTTATTCATTTTATCCAATGCGACTTACAATTGCTATATATGTCAGAGGTCGCATGTCTCTGGAGCAACTAGGGGTTAAGTGTCTTGCTCAGGGACACATTAGTGTCTCACAGTGTATTCGAACCCGGGTCTCTCACACCAAAGGTATGTGTCTTATCCACGTGCCATCACCACCCCCTGAAACAATATTAAACTTTTTTTTTTTTTTTTTTTTGAGTAAACTTCAAACCAGAAGAAAATCCAGGGTATTTTGTTAACACAAAAATCAAAGCAATTGCTCTAATGTGATGCACATTGTGAGAGAAAATCTTTAAATTAATTACTTTTCAGATGCAGCTTGGTTTGACATTTTGTTATCTAATGATATTCAGACTGTTTAAGTGTCAACAATACTTTTTGAGACCGCTGGCATCTAGTGTCCAAGAAATAAAGGGATAGTATTGAGCAATCCTGAAACCAATGTCAAAGTTTGTCTTCAGCTTTCCCCCCTTATGTCCTGGCTTGTGAAATAATAGTGGGTGTTGTGGTTCAGCCAGTCCTCAGTGGTTTTGTTTGTTATCTTTTAACACACATTTCTTGCAGACGTCTACAACAAAGAGGTCAGTGGTTAAAAATATACCTCCACCCAACTCTGATACCTAGACTCTGTTGATAGAAATTTCTGTAAAGTGTAAAGTTTTTGGCTGCAAGAAGTGTGTGCTGTGTGCTATTTTGTAACCAAATAACAAGCAATAATACTTCAATGACAATCACATAAGCAAATGTGTGACACTGACACTGACCACTGACCACGGACCTCTTTGTATACTTACTTTTCATTGAAGTACATTGGAGATGCAAACTCATTGGAGATGATGCCCAAGCATTTTCTATTCTGGTTCTAAACATTTAGAGTTCAGATATGCTTGAATCATCAGTAAATTGTTTGTATTATTGTGTACAATAGTGTTTTGTGTGTGAGGATGAGCTGTCTTGTCCCTCTGTGTTTTTTGTGAGTTGACTGAGCTGGGCAGGAAGGGTCAGGATTAGAGAAACAGGAAGCTGACATAAGGAAGTATTGTGCGTCACACAGATATTCACTGCTTAAAGACATTCCAGCCTCCCCTCTGAAATGAAGTTTTTCCACAGTTCTCCAATGAAACTCTTGCTTTTCGCTGGTAAGTCACTTTGATCACCTCCTATGATCTATTATTTTAATAATTTTATGTTTGTGTGTGTGTATATATATATATATATATATATATATGTGTGTGTGTGTGTGCGTGTGTGTGTGTGTGTGTGTGTGTGTGTGTGTGTGTGATTTTCGTCAGTAGTTCTCTCACTTTTTAGTCAAGTTAATACTGTTTTCCAAGATATATTTATTCTTGACAGTAAGATTATGTAGCTACATACCTATGTACATACAGTATTGAAGAGTATAGCTATTGATCATATGTTGATGGCTGTAGTGGAGCATGTCGCTATGTGCGTTGTATTCTGTGATTTGTAAAAATGGGGACCCACTGTTTATTGACAGATTTGAGATGCGAACTTAAATAAAGAAAAACTGATACATATTTATGTATTAAATGTATTATAAGTTATTTATTTGCTTTTCAGACAATGTCATCATTAATGTGACAACATACCCAATGTCTTATTTTTTATTTTTATTTTTATTTTTTGACACTTATGAAAATTATCCTTGTACTGAGAACACAATCCTTTAATCTTTCAGTAAAACTCTGCGTTCATTATACAGGTATTCTTTAAGCTAATGTCAGAGTGATTTTATTGTGTTCATTTGATTACACAACAGCTATTGCAGAAACATGATGGCAGTGTTGTAGTCGAGACCACCTCACTCGAGTCCGAGTCGAGACTGAGACCAGAGAGAGTCGAGTCCGAGTCAAGACCGAGTCCATAGAGAGTCAAGTCCAAGTCGAGTCCGAGACCAGAGACGGTCGAGTACGAGTCGAGACCGAGACCATGCAGTGAGGGTTGATTACCTAATTTACTTTTATTTACTTAGAGAAATCCTTTTTTATTTTACTGAATTTACTTAGAGTTTAAAAAATATGATCAGTTTGGGGTAAAAAGCCCACATAGTAGGTGGTGTTAAAAGTAATTTTATTACAATTTGTTGCGCACTAGAAAATCACCAATCACTGGGCGTGTCAATCAATTTAAAGAAATATTTTATTAACATACATTAATAATCATGAAAAATATTTTGAATTGAACTCGAGTGGACTCGGGAATAAGTCCGAGTCCTAAAAAAAAAAATGTTCGAGTACGAGTCAATTCCGAGTCCAAATGCACACGAGTCCATGACAAGACCAAGACCATTAAAATATGGTCTCGAGACCGAGTCCGAGACGAGTCCGAGTCTCGAGTACTACAACACTGCATGATGGTAACATTATTTTTTTTTAATCTAGAAGACAGATTTAAAAAAAAAAAAAAAAAAAAAGAAATTGTAATTTAAGAAAGTATCAGACTTTCTGAAACCAAGGTACAAAACCACAGGAAGAAAAAACAAGCATTTGTGTAGGATGTTTTATGCTAAATTGTATTAACCATGTGACAAATAACATGTCTCAAACATACTCATGAAGGTTTGTAATTTATGAGCATCTATCTTTGAAAATAATTGTATTTATATTTATTTATTTGTTTGTTTGTTTGTTTGTTTGTTTGTTTGTTCTATAGCTTGGTTTTCAAGTGTGCTGGATCCATGCAGATTTGCTGACATTTGCCAGTCCTGTCACCAGAATGCCACCTGCAAGCCTACTGATTCCAAAAATGCCTGCTACTGCAAACAAGGGTTCACTGGTGATGGATCCCGCAATTGCCAAGGTTTGCAATTTATTTATTAAATGAATACAAAATGGTAAAATTTTTAGTGTAAGAACAACAAAGCAACAAGTTCAAACCGAAAGAACTGTAGTCCGACTGCGTCATAAGAGAGAGCACAGAGCGCAGACGGTAAATGCACTCTGTGGGTGCTTCTCATTTCTTATTTGTGCATCCTCGTTTCCTTTCCTTGCTTCCTTTCCTTGCGTCTCAGCTCCACCCCCTGTAGGACGCGAGGGAAGGAAGCGAGGAAAGGAAAGGAGGACAGAGGAATCGAATAAAAGCTTTTTTATATCCATTGGAATACTTGATCACTCGAGCGTCACTCCACAGTGTCATCAGCAGCGCTAAAAGGATCTGCCCTTATGATGTTGAAGTTTGGTTATTTAATAAATTCATAATAAATAATAATAAAGAAAGGCTATACTGTTGAAATATTTGAGATGTGTGGTTTATATAAACTGCAAAGGTAAAGTATAAATTAAAATGATTGTGACCGATGTGAAGGGGGAGGAGAATTGACACGTGCGTCACGTTTAGTGAATATAACAGTTCCGCGTAGGATGCACCTGTGTATCCTCGCTTATGACTCCTCAGGAAGCCTCCTATCTCCTCAATCCTCGACTCCTCACGGTGCAATTAGAGAATTGAGATGTCCTTCAAGATGGCTGAGCTCGATCGGTTTCCGGGTCATAGGAGGGAGGACGGAGGAGCGAGGAGACGAGGAGGGATATTGAGAAGCACCCTGTGTGTGTGCGGGTTGAGGGAGAATGAAGCGTTGAGCGATGTAGCCAATCACAGACATGTGTGTTGTTTTCTTGAATGCAATGGCCAATCAGAAGCATTTACGATAGACTTCCCTCACCGCGGGACGAAACAAATGTTGCGGCGGGAGAAAGTAATATAGAAATTTGAGAACGTCAGTCACAACGACCCATGTTTTAAAAAATAGCTGGGTTTAAATCATTTTAATGATGATACTGTGGCCGCCGGTCAGTAGCGGAGTGGCAATCCGGCGATTCAGGACTTTCCCCGGTGGGCCGGTAGTGTTTCGAGGCCGCGAGGACCAGTCTGATAGTTATACTTTGCAAGTTCTTAGCAACACAATCCGGCGGCCTGTACACTACAACGGTGATAGAATGAAGAGCGCGTCCGAATGAAGACGGTGCGCAAGCCGCAAAAGACCATGCAACTAATAGCAGCGAAAAAAAGCGTTTCGCTTGTTTTAAAAAAACAACAGATTTTAGCGCTAGATCTCTTATTTAATGGCGAAATAAATTAATTATATGCTATTTAACTGGAGATGTTTTATTTATTTTTGTATTAGCTGTACACTTTCACACAATCTTTCATAGATAGCATAACTAATTTGCAAGCTGCTAAAATAAAGCATACAAAACATCAGCTAAAATGATCTATAGGCTAAATGATTATAATCAGAACATGTTCCCAGCTGGCATTTTAACGTTGATTCACCGGTGAAACAACGTCAGGGACCAAGGTTGGATCAACATTGGATTATGTTTCGATTTTGCAAATCTAATCAACGTTGATTTTGCAACGTTGTTTCACCGTTGACATCATGAATGTTGTTTCACTGTTGATGTCGCGACGTTGTTTCACGATCTCTCCTTTCAATATTGGTGAGTAAAAGTTGTATGTCGAAGTTAAACCAACATTTAATTATGCTTCGGTTTTGCAAATTGAATCAACGTTGCTATCGTGATATTGTTTAAGTCTTACCATTCAACATGGGAGAATACAATTATACATTAAATTACAACGTAGTTTGAATACACGATCATAACAATGCTAACTGATTTAGTGATTAACTGTACATACTGTAGTCTACACTAAAACATTGTTTAATGTCAAATGACTGACAGCAATGGCTTAATTACAAACACATTTAATAAAGAGTTAGCACATGCTCAAGATTGTAAAACAAGTTTTATTTTGGAAAACAAAACAAAAAAGTCTAAAAATACTTTCTACATCTGAAAACTTTAACTTGCAGTGTTTTCAAAGTAATAAGTAAAGTACAAATCTGAATGGAATACTTAAAAGACAGTTTTTGTTCAATTACAGTAAAACTTAGATGAAATACATTTAATATTTTAAGTGTACAGTAACAGTAGAAAAACTTAGCATCTCAATAAAATGCGACAGCCTTTTGCATTGCTCTAGTAGAGTCCCAGCTTGAGGTCTGCTCCGATGCCATCGCTTCCTCTTGCTCCCTCTTCACTTCTTGTCTGCTCTCTGTACGATCCTGTAGCTCATAAATAAAAGCAAAAACAGTTAAAACTGAATACAAAATTATTTACAAGATTTTCACTTACACTGTTCAATAACAGTCGAGTTGAAAAAGTATACAACTCTATCCAAGACATGTTATGTATTCAGATGTAAATGTACAATATCAACCATAATTAACAAGCAGTTCTTCAGAGCCCCAAGGTGGAATTGATTGCTGCTTAATATTAAAGGTCACTTTGAAATTAATTTTTGATATGTTTTATCTTACCTCAAGGGCATCCAAGATGTAGGTGTCTTTGTTTCCACAGTATTTTCAATTTTGACATTTTTAGGTCAAACCATTCTTGTCTGTCAGTCATATAATGGAGGTCTATGGTCACCACCTCAAAGAGCATGCAAAGAAGTCCAGATTAAACATGATTTAATGACTCATAAATGTAAGTACACATTGATGGCCTAAGACACGAAACGAACGGTTTGTGTGAGAAAACCAACAGTATTTAGGCCTATATTGTTTTTACCTCTTGTAACCACAGCCAAGTCCAAGTGATCTGAAGGCATAATCGGTCTGCGCAAGCGCCGGAAGTGATTCGTTGTTTACACAGAGATTTCGGAAGTTTTAACTGTCACTGGGATCTAAACATATTTAGATATATAGGAAATCGCAATAAAACTTCCGAATCTCTGTGTAAAAAATGAATGACGTACACACGCAAGAGATCACTCCCGGCGCATGCGCAGACCGAAGCGCCCGTGCCTTCAGATCAGTTGGACGTGGCTGTGGTTACAAGAGGTAAAAACGAAATAAATACTGTTAGTTTTCTCACACAAACTGCTCGTTTCGTGTCTTAGGCCATCAATGTGTACTTACATTTACGAGTCATTAAATCATGTTTAATCTGGACTTCTCTGTGCTGCTCTTTGAGGTGGGCCCCATAAATCTCCATTACACGACTGACAGACAAGAACGGTTTGACCTAAAAATGTCAAAATTGAAAATACTCTGGAAACAAAGACACCATCTTGGATGCCCTTGAGGTAAGATAAAACATATCAAAAATTAATTTCAAAGTGAACTATCCCTTTGAACCGTGATTAATTTTTCAGGATTCGTTGAAAGTTCAAGAGAAAAGCAATTAATTAAAATATATATATGAAGAGTTCATATGCAAAAGTCTCTAAATGCCATTTGAAATTTTCTTCTTTAATGATGATTTTTATCAAACTTGTATATTTGAGTTCAGTAATTTCACTTAAATGTTATTTAAGTGAAATTACTGAACTTAAATATACAAGCTTGATAAAAATCATCATTAAAGAAGAAAATTTCAAATGGCATTTAGAGGCTTTTGCATCTGAACTCTTCATATATATATATTGCATTACTATAAATGTCTTTACTGTCACTTTTGATCAATTTAATGTGTCCTTTCTGAAGAAAAGTATTTCTATTTTATATATATATATAAAAAAAAATCATATTGACCCCAAACTTTTGAACGGTAGTGTACATTTTTATTAAATTGAGTAAAATCAAATCATAAAAGGTCAATGAATGCATACCAGAAGTGATAGCAGCTAAAGAAAAATCCTCCACCAAATTGCCAGTAATCATATGGATCCTTGGTGAGTCTGGAAGGGGAAACAAGAAATGATTCAATGAAAAGCTCTAAAAAAGCCTTTTTAAGCATGGCAATCCCATCAGAAAAATGTGTATCATAGAAAGGGAAGCACACAAAAAAGCCAACTGGTACATCAAAATCAAGCCATAATATAATGTTACCTGCAGCCTTTATCCTGTTATGACATGTCTGAGGGTCTTTCCCTTAATGTTTTCCAGTGAATTAAAGACAGGACTGATGAAGGTAGGTGACATGACCTTTCACTGCGGCACGTCAGAGGAAAAAAGACAAAAGTACAAAAAGTTACTCAGACTTTCTATCAGTAAATGTCTTTCTTTGATGATGAGAATCATACTTTATACTTTATATTAATCCCAGTGTAGGTTTTCGAAAGAGTGTGTAAAATTGACAAGAAACAAAACAAAAACTTACTGTAGTTGGTGGATTTGTCTCTATTTGGGTGTTCTCCCCCCGAAAAAATCATATTCCAAAGCTTAACCTAAAACAAATAAACAAATATAATCATTGGCAGTTATCAGGGTTCGAGGTTTTGAACTTCTAATGAATAAATTACGATTTTATCACTTTATTCCGAGACTAATTACCTCTCATGCGTTTAAGCTAACACAAACCACCAACAACAACGCACAGCAGTGTCAGATGGTAACGTAAGATACATGAATAAACTTAATAATATCTCTAGCGCGCTTCACTGATGCAGTAGAAAAACACTCATTTGCAGGCTGCTGCATTAGGCCTATGTCCGCTACCAGTTTGTAAAAATCTTGTCTTCAGACAGTAAAAAATGAAGATAATGATCTTCATTAACGGGTGATTATCAGTTTATAGCGTTACCCACAAACTAAATTTACACTCTTTTCAACAGATTTCAACAGAACAGAACAGAACGTTAATACCTTTTAAACATTTATTGATATTTGTTAACATATCTAAAGTGAAACTGTGGTAACGACATACATTAAGGACGTTTAACGTTCACGTTAACGTTAGACTGTTAAGAATAAAAAATGTTTTCTTACCTTTAGTGATTTCGCCAGTATTTTTACAGACCACGTAACATTACGACCCCATCCTCTGTTCACATTCCAGCTTTTGTCCTTCATT